TTTGAAAGTCTGTAATTCTTTGTATTTTTTATTGTTGGCATGTTTTAAATGTTGCCATACTGCTATAAAACTATGGGAAAAACACTGGCATCGTAACATAAGAAATATCTAAAACTTAAAAACATTTCAAAATAGTCGAGGGGCAGCAACAGTCATTTGTGCTCCAATGAAATACTCATGAACTAAAAGATTTCCCACTAAACATGATTGCATTGGTCAAGCATTGGTCAAGCATCATGTCAATCAATACAAAGATTCACCTTTAGAAAGAAGTTTCCACCTTGTTTTATTTCTGTCATGGGGATACACTCCTTGTCTTCCTCCTGGCTTTATGACAAGAGGAAGGATTTGATACACATGGGTGTCATTCGGTTTGACGTTCCTTAAACAATCTGTGTGTGGCTCAGCTGCCGGAGACAATAACTCTACAAAGGAGGTCACAGAGATTTTTCCAGAAAGGGCTGGTTATTTGTGTGGCGTCTTTAGCCTTGTGTTTGTTCAGTTCCCCAGGAGAGGCTGCTTCCTGTCCATGTTTTCAGTGAGACACGAGGACGTCTTCTTTGAGAGAAGCAACAGGTCACTGGCCAGCAGCAGTCCAGCCTGAGATATGGAGTTAAATAACATCCCTAAAACCCAATACGCAAACTAGGACAAATTGTGTCTGGATCCTATCCAGGCTGAATTTTATTGTTCTTCCAAACGCCAGAGAGATAGAAGAACTTTGCGGCCAGGCCTTTCACTCAGTAAGCATATCCTCTGCCTGCCCTCTGTAGGGAAAAGGCCAGATTAAAGTGTGTGTATGCACATCTGTGTGTGCTCCTTTGTGTATGTTTGTCTTGCAGCACAAAAGACTCCAAAAGATCGATAGCCACCCCTTCAGACCCCCTTATGCTTAAGGCCAAACAACATGATGAGCAGGGGGGAAACCCCAAGTGCAGGCAACCAAGAACATTCTCCATCCAGCTGACGAGCCCCAGGCCTCCTTTCCGTGATCCTGCAGTCCATTAGAGAGGGAAACATGGATGGAGAGCATGCTGCCTGCTCAGCTTGGGACTTATCTTGATATGCCCGGAGGCCTCACATTCAAAGCCACAAAGCAGCAAGAGTTGCTAGAACAGCTTGGCCAGAATAGGTTCCATACACAGTGGTCAAAGCTGAACAACTATCCCCACTGATATAGATGTGCACTGGCTTCAGGGTTTCTCTCCCACAACCAAGGCAAGAGACTGAATAAGTGAATGCCTCTACTAATGTGAAAAGAAATGAATATACTTATATAAAATGGTAAATGGATGGATATATTTATTTCTACCTGAGCAGGACAAAGAGCTTTACAAAGTCTCTCATTCACCCACGCACACACGCCCAAACTGGCTCAGCCATTGGGAGCAAATGGGTTTGAAATGTAATAAAAGAACAAAGGTGTTATTTCACAAAGCAAAAACCATGTGAAATTTCTGTTTAGACTGTCATCTACTAACTAAATTGATCCAAGAAATTGAGATGGGGTCAGGCACAGTGCAGCAGATGACAGTGATCAGGCTTATCTTATCAACAGTCTCTATGTGGTAAATGTGACATCGTGTTGCTATTTTCATTTATAAACAGACAACTGGAGCGTTTCCAGTCAGTGTTAGAATAGTGCAAATCGAAGAGTTGTACTATCAACATGCACTTTGGGGCTTTGTTCACTGTTGGTTTTTCTGCATGCATGTTTCTCCAACTAACCAGAGAGAACCAGAGTAGCTAATGATCAAAACACTTACTTAAAATACTGGTTAAGCAATATAAGCTCTTTTTTGTGTGTAAATAAGTTGGCTTTGTTGGTTTGTTTGGTTTCCCACAAGGCCACAATTGACGATTGATTGATGTTTGATTGATCTGTAGGTTCCTTTATTTATTTATCTTTTTATGTTTAAACTCTAATGCGATTGGATGACAGACGAGAACTAAAAAATATTCTTATTTGGATTTTTTGAATTTGAAGATACAGAAATACATGGGTGCATAAAACGGCAGCATTTCCACATGGAGAGGGCCTTGATCTTTCAGGCAGCCATCTTTTGAACCATAATATGAAGCGCCGGTTCGCATGGTTGACATGTTGCTCAAGGCAGTGTGCGCCCTTTCCATCCAGACAACAGGCTGCTTTCAAAGGGTGTCCGGGGATGTTGCAGGAATATCTGACGCCTGTGTCTCCTGCTTCTGCATTCCTTAATGCCAAGGAGCAGACACACCAAAGAATGCTCCATGCTGGCTCACGAAACACACTAGCTTTGTACTATCAAGAACAGTTTTCATCATGTTGCTGGCTTTCTAAATGTCATCAGTGACAGTGACACCACACAGCTTACCATCAGAGCAGGAAACAGAGATTTATTACAAGTAGAAATCCAAAACAGCATACATCTTTTCAGATAGTGATCGGAAATACTATAGAATATCAAAAAGATAAGGTTACATTTACATTGTTTGATGTTTTGATTTTTGAACTGGACATTGTCACCAAGAGGATGCCAAAGAGGAATTTAAATAAATAACATATGCAAATATCATGGAGAGAAATAATATAGTTTGTAGTCAACTAGTAGTACACTTCTTCTTTTTTGAGTATTTGTCTCTGTCAAATTAAGAGACAAATGACTAGAAATTAGTAAGAATATGAATAAAACTGACTGATATCTGGTGCTCAGATTCTAGTATTTGTGTTGTACATTTAAATGGGTATAAAAAGTCACAGACTGTAGCATAAAACTTGTGTGTAGTTCATTAAGGAAGATTTTCATTCCCTAAAGCTGTGTGAAGACAAAGTTTGGTTTACTAGGCCAACACAGCTACAACAGGGATCGAGCTGAAGGTTAAACATAAGACCTTCAAATGTCAAAGTTCTAACCCTTACAGTAAGTCACCAAACCAAACTACAGACTCACAAGATGTGATTTATACTGTTAAATTGGCTGTTTCTATTGTTTTTGGTCTTTAGTTCAGGCATTAAAAACACTAGTTAAACATGGATGACTTCAGTTTTACAACAAAAAGGCAATGCTCCTCTCTATAAAAAAAAAATTTAATCATTCCAAGGAGTTTGTGATAACATTTTCACACACCCCAGCCTTCCTAGGCACCCTCTACTGCTCTCTATTACATCCCAAGGTTGATGTGAATTCACAAAGAGCATGTTCACCTAGCTCTCAATACAACAGAAATGATCATGTTCAGCTGTGCAGCACACCTCGCTCATGTTTTGTTCCTAACAAAGATCCGAGAAAACAGAAATAAATCCGGAGGTTTAATTGAAATCATTTCATTCTGGACCACATTTATTCCTCCTCTACAGATGCCGGCTGTGTTTGAACAACTGGATTTCATCAGCGGCACACAGCCAGTCTACCAGCAACCTCAGACAAGAACCTTCGCTTAATGTCAGCACAGCAGGTTCAGTTCTGGCTCTGGTGCACTGATCCGCAGAGCAAACTCACATATCCTCTTCAAATCCACGTCCTATTTGTGATTCGTCTTGTCAAACACGCATGGCATGAAGTAGCTTCTATTTTTAAGGTAGTATTTTGACTGATCGCAGAGGTGTGTGGGAATCCACAGATGATGAGAATTCAACCCTTGCCAGTAATTAAACCTTGTTCTTCAAACTTGCTGCAAGTGCTGAGAGTAAATTCTGACAGATTGGTATTTGGAACACATGGAGGTTTGTTTGAGTAAAGTCTTTCCATCATGCTCAGGCTTATTAGAAAGATCTAGATTGCACCTCTCTATTGCCTCTGTTTGTTCCTCTTGGCCCGGGGTTTGAGCTCAACTGTGTATTTTACATTTAATGCTATGGGACAATGATGACAGCCACACTGGATGTGGATCATGCAAGCAGTACATGGGAATGCAGGTTGTTTCACCACTGCAGCTGATCACAGTGGAAAAGTTTAGTTCCCGTTTTGAAATGAAATGTTTTTACTGTAAGAGAACGTAATTCCCTGCTATAAATGGGGCTGGTGAAAATTTGACAATCTGCAAGTCAGCTTTGCAAAATCCCCACCTGTGCAAAGCGGGAATGTTATTCAACAGAAAAGACTGAGTGTGATTTCCCATCAAAATATTTTCAAAGTAGGTAAGCCATAAAATTGCGGTCGCTGGTGTTGAAAGCTTTGTCCCACAGTCTGCAGCTGGAATTTACATATATTAAGTCTGGAAAACAAGTGAGATTCATGGCTGACTCTGACATAAAAACCCATCCACTTGCTCTCTCTCTCTCTCTCTCTCTCTCTCTCTCTCTCTCTTTTTGCTTCCCTGTCTCTTTTTCTCTCTATCACACAGACAGCTCTGCTTGTTCCTGGTTGCTCATGTGTGGCAGCAGAGCTGGATGGAAAACATATTGCTCCATCAATCATGTCCCATTCTTCTCAGCAACAGACTCTGACTTGGAGGTTGTCTCAGACCGAGGCCACATTCAGTCAGCCCTTGTGTAAAAATGCAAAGATGACAAATATTCCTCCAAAGAGAGAGCTACATCAAACTGCACCTATTCCGATAACCTGATCTCTTTCAAATGATGTTCCTCCTACTTGCCAGTCCCTTGGCTGACACTGTGCTGACAGTATCTTAATATACAGAGTGAGGAGTGTGTGCTGTGTTCAAACAAAGCTCCTTCTCCCCTGTGTTATGTCAATAGATCAAATGAAAAATGCAGGGAGAAGAAGGAGGAAGATGTCAGTTTTCATCAATGTCTGGCTGATGTATTCAGGAATTTCTGTCTTTTAAGCCTTTGTTTCAGCACCCAAGACCAAAGCGCAGAGAGCACTGCCATGCCCGTGCTAGCAGTGCAAAACGAGAGAAAACACTTCCTCCTTTCCTTTCCCTGGCAGTTATGTGTGACACACAACTTGGCTACAGCCCCAGCTGTAGCCCCTGGGCAGTGCATATGTCACCCATTTGTACTCCAGAAAGCACTCAGTTCCGAGCTAAGGCCAAGTATGAACGGAGGGAACACTTACTCGTTTTTCTCCAGAGCCAAGAGCAGCTGTTCACCTTCCGCTTCAATCAGGAGCTTCAGTGATGCAGGGTGACTCTGATGAGACAACAGACAGGAGAGGAGATGAAAAAGATTGGTTCTGGAGTCAGGCAGACAGCATTTTGACTGAGGAAAGATGGATCTGGTTGCTGTTCAAGTGTTGCAGCATTAGTTGATGCTTAAATGGAAGAAATTAATGAAATTTGTGCTCTGTGTGGCAATGAAATAAAAAAAAACAGCAAATAGTTCTCAAAAACCTCAGTAAGAATCCTGATGAGACTGTGACTGAGCCACCCAGCACTGTGAGAAAACTTGCGAGACGACTGTTTTCAATTGATGAGAGCTGTCGGAAATCCTTATGAAGCGACTTTGTATCTTAGAACAAGAGCTGAGAGGATTAGCTTTATGTTTCTATTCCATTTGACATTAATCCTGCAGAAAGCCACGAGTCTTCGCACCCCTGAGTTACAACACTGAGAGGGACCATGTGTCTCTGTTAGAGTCAGATGAAGTGCCACCGAGCCATACATCACTTCTGTCAGTTGTGCTGCTCGACAAATGCGGCTGCATGTGCGCACACACGCCCACACACATGCATACTCATCCACATGTCAACACGTAACCTCTCTCCTCCCGTGTGTTGCACTCTCACTCAGGCACAGAGACAGAAAAAATCCTCCACATTCTCCATATCGCTGGGCAACCGTGCACACAAAACACACACATTTCAAACACATAGTTCAATCTGGGTCAACTGTGGAAAGGAGTACTGCTCTGGGTTAAGTCATCCATCACCCCCCGTGGAGAAGAATGTCTAGTGGATCATAAGAGGATATGGAAGCAGAACACTTAAGGTTTTAGGCAGTATCATTGCACAAGCCTCCAGCTACATTCTGTTCAGACAGCTTTCTATATGCGTGCTTTGACCTCCCTTTCACTGCGAAATGTTTATGGCGACTTTCGGGACAATATAGATCGTGCATTTTGTATGTTTGGGTTTGTTATTAAGGAAGTAATATATTCAAATTAGCACTTAATTTCACCTTCATTGTGAGTATTATATATCTGAGGTTTTGTTTTGTATTTTGGGGTAATAACATCCCAAAGAAACCTTGCAGCACCTTGTCTGTTTGGTTAAGCCAGAACAAATTAATTCACAAATGAATTGACTCAATAACACAACCTGCAAACACAAGCTGTGTCTGCCTGGCAGCCATGCATTTTGTTTTTGTAAAGTCTGGGATTTAAACACCAAGCAGAGCCAAGGATCCCATATTTCAAACATTTCATTAATGTTCCAGGGGGATTTGTAGTGCTTTCTTCCTTTCTAAGATGCAAATATTGTACAGCTGTGTTTGAACTGAACACAACAATGCACCACTGTATGCGGTCCTGTACCTTTTAATTTAGCTGACTGACATGTGAGCAGGTTTCCTCACACTAAGACTGAGATGCACCATGCAGTTTAAGGATAATTAAATTTTTATGACAATGTGCATCCAAATTAATGAGATTAATCAAATCAATGAGCAATGTTAATTTGAGGCCGTATTGAGTAGGGGGATATGGGAGCAACCGATCAAGACTGGAGGCTAGCCTGTACAATGACAAATACATCTAATTATAAGCTTACTTACCATCAATTCAGTATCTACAATCAGTTGCATTTTACTCCGCTTGATTAGATACAGTGCAGTTCTAAATTGAAGATTCAGTGTTAACCTTGAGTCCAATCTGATATTAAATTGAATTAAGATTTAATCTGAGTTCAAATGTTTGTGCAACAAGTTTAAGAGTAAACCCTATTTTAAAAGATTTAACTTCTCACTATAGCCTCTATGGGCTGCCCATAAAAACACAAAGCAATTTTAAAACCACATCCGGACCAATTTTATGCCTGAATGAAAAATGAATGAGACCAGCCAGTGACAGTGGCAAAACAATATAAAGTCTTCCAGCAAAAAGATTGAACATGCCCCCTGTGTTGTTTGAACGCAGGGCTGTTTTCGGTCTGAACCCCCACTAAGGGTCTTCTCATTAGTGGGGCCAAAAGTTTTATTTTATTCCTGACATGACCCTAATGGTCATACGGCCATTAAAATCAAAATGGTTTATCCCCTTGGGAACGAATGAAGTGTTCAACACCATGGCAATCTGTCTGCTGCATTATAAAATACAGTGTAATGTGTGCAAGGTTTTGGTCTAATGGTGGTGCAGGGAGAAAGCTCTGGAGTGTAACCCAAATCATTAGGAGTCATCTGCACAATGCTCAGTAATATCAAGATATCTGAGCCAGTGTTTGATAGACAAATAGGCATTTAAAAGAACAAGCAGTGTTAAAAAGACATTGTTTAGCTCAACCACTATTCTTCACCTGGGATTTGAGCTGGCTGATTGGTTTCCAGTCTCGTCCAACAAGCTGAAGAGGTACTGTAGTCCCATAGTGTTTCTGCTTTGCTGTTGGTCTGTGTTGAACAGTCTTGCTCACAAGATTCCCTGTAAGAGAAAATATAAATACCATGTGAAAATGCTTAATACTTCAAAGTGTTCCCCTTTATTCTGAATTCTCTCAGCATCTGTAAAACCGGACCATGTCCATCTTTGTGGACACAAACAATGGGAACATTTTCTAAACTCATTTTCTACAAACAATACTGATAATGAATTCCACCCCACTATTAAAGGCCTGAGCCTGGTGTTCATTAACAACATCAGGACACAATCTGACAGTACAGCTGCCTTGTAATATAAAGTATCACTTGAACAAAATCACAGTATTTGTATTTGATGGGTTTTTCTGTGTCACAGCACACAAATAATGGTCTCTGAATAGTTTTGTTTTTCATAACTAACAATTATCTATGCTGACAAAATGCCATCTCCTATACATCCTCGCCCTTCCTGAACATATGTTCACCTCCTTTTTATAGACTGTCAGTAGAATGGAGCCTATCTCCTCTGCCATTAAGACTGGAATACAACAGCACTAATCAGCACTCTCAGACATCAAGCGATACGAACCGCTAGCCTGTGGTGAAACCGTAACCACCCCCTCTGCCACTCAAGCTGCATAAATCTCCACAGTTCTTCAGGAATGGAGAGTTTTGAGCAAGTAGGAACTGGGGTTGCTGCTCCTGCTGCTGCTGTGATAACTCCTAACACAGGGCTAGTGTCCAGGATGCAGTGGAGGGATTAGACGTAGCTTTGGGGCATTGTTCCCAGCATGCTTTTATCTCCTCTCTCTCTCTGTTCTGACAGGGTGTTAACTGAGCCTCCAAATGGCTACAATTCTCGGAGCTCTGCTGTGTTGCCCGTCATTTAAGAATATATCCGTCCCCAAATCCAATACTGACGTCCCCAAGCGTGCCGGCAAGAGATGAAGTGGCGGGAAAACATCCACTATACTGAGCAAACATACCACTTATAACTGAGACAGAAGCTGCAATCGCTCTAAATAGTACATCATGAGCACACAGAGAGTCAGAATGCAATAGTGAGCCACTGGAGGACATTGCTAACAGGGTTCCTGCAGTAATCAGCTCCCCACAGTGGGGAAGCTGTTTCAGAGCTTGGGTCTCTTACTAAAACAGCGGGGGTTGTTAGAATCATTTGTTTCAGTGCAAACATTCTAAATCAAATGTTTGCTTGTTGTTTTTGGGGGATTTTTTATATTTTAATTTTTTGTTTTCTTCGCTCCATTGAGTGTTTCCAAACAGCAGGGTAACAGATTTAGTTTGAGGATGATGTCAGTGAACTTGTGAGAAGTTATGCGTGTGGTCGGCGCATGATTTATGTATGTTTTGAAACTTCTTAATTTTGAATCACATTTCAAACACATATAAACACAAAACGCCCTCAAGGGGACACACTCATCACAGATTATTATTACCAGCAGATTCAAGACTTCGAGGTTCACATCCCTTCTGTCTCTCTGCACATGACTCACCCAGCTAAATTGCTGAGTCTGCTTATCATCCAGCATTAATAACGCAGGTCAGGCAGCATGCTCCCCAGCTGAGCTTTGTTCTGGTTCTCCTCTGAGGAAACCACCACTCTGGAGTTCATCACAGAGGAGCTCCAGCTGATAGCGGAGAGCCAGAGGTGACCAGCTCAGCAGTCCTCATCCAGCTCCAGCCTGATGATGAGAAGCAGGCTCCGGCAAGGACGGGACGGCGCACACAACAGCAGGAGAAGCATCCTACCCTCATTAGTCCCAGAAAACCACAACGTCTGGGGGAGGTGGGTGTGCTGAGTAAGGGAATGCATGACGGTGAAAAGTACGGATGGATAAACACAACAGACGAGGGGAAAAAACAGAGAAGATTTTGACAGAGAAAGGTCAAGTCTGCATTGTGGTTAGCCGATTTATGAGGCTGACACACACAGATGGAACGACCATTGCCTTTTCTGTGGCATGCTCCACATCAACTTTGAAGACGAGGTTCACAACTATACAGTGTTTGGTTCCTAGACTTCAAAGTGAATAACCATTTTGTTAATGTGGTGTGCTATGAGGTTTAATTCCCGCTTATAAATGGCATTATATTAGTGGAAAGAGTCTGCAGGGTCATTTTTATATCCACGTGCTTGGGAGAGACATTTGGTAAAGTTGGAGTGTGGCGGGGCCGTGGTGTGCAGAGTGTGTAAGTGGCTTTTGTTAGCTAAAATGTCATAAGAACCACCAGAAGCATTTAGGGAGCGGTAAAAGTGGCACCAGAACCTAAGGCCTTATTTATACGTTCAATAAAGGAGAGTGTAAACAGAGGTCTTAATAAAGCAGAGTTCTGGCCATGATCAGCTCCCTTTATGCTCCAGCGTATACAAGGAGAGTTTGTGCCATTTATATTGCCTCAATAAAGTCAATGCTAGGTTGGAGGATTGTGTGTGTGTTCGCGTGTGGGTGACTGAAATGTGATACAGACCTGTGGCTGAATGAAGTAATAAATTTCCCTAGCAGCGGAGTTAAGAAGAAATAACAAAATCTATTATGTATGCCGTATGTACAGCCATTGTTTTGTTGTTTTAGCCAACACACTGCAATACATGATTGGTTGGTTGTAACTTAACAGCGGTGTAGCATACTCACACTAAGCATAGATTAAGTGCTTTGCAGGTCAAAAGGCATCTAGGCAACTTAATTTGATTTAAAACTTTTTTAGACATCAAGGTCAGAGGTTCTCTACCTGGGGATTGGGATCTCCCAAGGGGTGGCATAATAAATCTTTGTTGTCGAGATGATTAACAAGATGGGAAAAATTATGAAAAAACATTTTGGTTACTCAAAATTATGTGTTTTTTAGTTACCTCAATTCCTTTGCTTTTTTTCTTGTGAACTATTGGAGAGTTTGACCTCTTCAGGACAAAAACAACCACACTCAAACAGTGTGAAAAAGGCACATCTTTGGTTGAACTCCTCACAGCTCAAAGGCATATGCAACTTGTGATGAGGAGGTATGCATTGCTTGGCCATAAATGGTCATAAGACAAAAGCTTAGGAACCTGCAGCCTAGGTCAGTGGCTGGCACTTTGGTCTAGTTTACACCCATCACCACTGGTTGCATATGTCTGTTGGTTATGAGTACATCAATCAAAGAGTAATTTTCCCCTGTTTTATTGGAGTATTTTTTAGAGACTTGGAAAGGAAAAATTACCAAGTTATTATCTTCTTATTCACAGAAGTCACTGGTTTGATGATATCCCAGTGAAGACATGCCCAAGATGGTTGATAAATGGAAAATTTTTAGACATCTAGGTAAGAACTGTTATTTTAACATCATTTTGGCAGCCATATTTTTTCTTTGCAATCAAATTTTGGCCTGTTTTAACCTCAACATCTAGCCGGGTAAACTAAAACAGTGCTGACTGGGGTAGCTTACATTTCCTGATGGTATTTCACAGTGAATCATCCTCTGGTTTTATCAGCACTCCCAACTTAATGCATTCTCCACAGCCTATGAGCTGCTGGTCCCAGGGAACAGATGACCTTCCTCAGTTCTTTGCGGTTCTCAAGACGTCCTTTCTCCCCGGCCTTTCACAACGCCCTTCTCTTTCCCCCTCACTCTGTTCCACCAAAACAAACCAACAACTGTTCAGCTTTATTAAACCCAAGAGCCTGCTTTCTTGCAACCAACCGCAACTCACTCCCTGACAGGCAACCATGAAATAATGTATTCATAACAATCTTTGCTTTTCGAACACAAATGGCATGCTGTTCTTTTCATCTGCATTCTACACACTTGATGAGGCCGTGCCCCCCACATATGCGCAGGTCCTTGCTGAGATGGGATACAGGCTACACAAACGTGCACACATCAATAAAGAGCACTCCTAATCACAGTCACCCTTGGCTGATAGCTGGCGCAGGAAAAGCAAACAAGGACACACTCCAAAGTCACTTTGACAGCGATCTTGTCACATTGAAAATGAAAAACAATGCCTTTGGCAGCTCGAATGAGACTCTTTGACATGCAAAATCCCTTGAATGGTACAAAAAGAAGTGCGGGGGAGACACACTTGAGATGATTCCAGCATTGTTTGACACGAGTGGACACTGTTTAGTTACTCAGTCTGGTTACACAAACCTATAGAAGAAAATGTGCCTGAAATAAGAGCATGTGGAATTAATTAGGGCAGAGCGATGAGTTTAATTTTGCATGTTTCAAGCAGAACTATGACACAACAAAGACAAAAAAAAGGTAAAAAGAAGAAAGAAAACTCATTTTCTGTTTCCATATGGAAGTGTTTTCTTGATAAAGCAAATATAATTAACTGATCACTTTTTCATCATCACTTCATCATGTATCCACAACCATTTTTATCCAGATTTAGTTGACGTCTTTAATCAGAACACTGACTGGATTTGGGACAGGATCCAGCAAAGTTTCTGAGCCAAAAGTTAGTTCAGCCAATAGAGGAAAGCTTGGTTAATGTTTATGGCTATTGTTCATTTAATAATTTGTGATTGACAGGCATATCACGAATTCAATTTATTATTAATCAGAGAGGGCAAATTATGCTAATTCAAACAGAATGGTGATTGGGAATAAAATGATGAATGATACACTGCAAAGAGGACCCATCAAGAACACTCTTTCATAAATGACCTTGGAGACAAAAGCAATGAACTCTACTGCCTTTCCTTATCTCTTTCTCTCCTTCATCATCTTCTCTAGGCCTGTAACTAATCATTATTTTCATTATTTACTGTTTCATAGATTTTTTTTAATAAATCGACAAATCCTTTATTTTAGAAAGAGTGAAAAATGCCAATCTCAAGACATCTTCCAGCATCCAAAAACCCAAACATATTCCATTTCAACTTCTAAGTGCAGAAACAAGTGAGTAAAGTAAAAATTAATTGGTCAAATATGAGCATTTGCTGTTAAATGTAACTGTAAAAAGAACATCCATGGCTAGCTGCAACTAAATCCTACACACTGATCCTGAAATAATGATAACTTGCAGCCCTAAATGATATGAAACAAAGAAAAGGAAGC